AAGGAGCCTCATCAGTTTATGTTTGACTCTGTGGTGACGGCGTGTTATAAGGAGGTAGTTGTTGGGACATTTTCCAAGCACATGTGCTGGTGTTTCTGGCTCTCTGTTGCATTTGCAACAGAGGGACCCAACTTCTCTTACCTGTCCGCTGACACTTGGGACTCCACGCAGGGGTGCATAATTAATATTTAGTTTCAGGGCATTTGACCATTTAGACCCAGAAAGTACTTCCTTATCGTACATGTATTTATTGGCTTTCGGGGTCTCCTTAAAATGGCGAACTCCAATCCCCTGCCACCTGCAATTGGTCCATTCCTCGAACGAATTTTCTCAAAGCGACTGCCGTAGAGCTCTCATATTTCTAATACCCCGATTAACCCCCAATCTCTCGGCACATTCAGCAACCTCAGCCGAATAATCGAAAATCGATTGGAATAGGGCATCGAGCACTTTGGACAGTCGCTGAGCAATGGACAAATGTTGTAGAGGAGCCTCCCATTGGCAGCGGATTAATCCTAATCCTCGATACCTCCTGGGAGCGTACAACTTCGCCGTGGAAGTGTTCGCAGAGAGTCCAACAATAGCCTTCACACTCCTGCGAATCATGGTGTCAATGGCATCAAGTATGGCAGGACGTAGCTTTGTGAGGGGCGCAGTTTGGAGAGGGTAAGTAAGACCCGGGAACAGATATTGATTGACAATGTTTAGCTTCTGCTCCGGCTTAAGCAAGGGAGAGGTTACTAGTTTATTGAGATTGTCGTTCAATTTGGTCACCGAATCTTCGTTGAACTGTAGCTCTCCCGAGAATGTACATCCTAAATACGTGATTGTATCTCCATTCTGCAATGTTTGGATGTACTCTCCATTCTCAAGGGAGAGCATCGCTGTTTCCAGCTCTCCTTTATTTAGAACGATGCCCACGCTTTTTTGAGGATTTATAGCCAAACGGATTTCCTAAAATGTCCTCTGTACGCTGCCGATGACTCTTTCTGTAGCCCCCCTGTCACGCGCCGACACTGTCTGGTCATCCGCGAAACCTGTGAGGACCACACAACCTTGGTCCCTTTTTAACTTATATCCAAATTTTTTTGAAAAATCTTCATCGCACAGGTCGCTATAGAGATGGTCGATGGCCAGGTTGAAGAGCGACAATGACAAGGGGCTGCCTTAGGGCACTCCGCGCAGTACTTTGATTTGGCTAGTTGCGTGAACACCGTTACTAATCTTGATTGTGTTCGTGCAGAGGAGAGCCGATATAATACGTTTAAGATCCGGTGACACACCTCTTGCTTCTAAGGAGCTCACGGTGTGTTTGTGGCCAACATTGTCAAAAGCACCGACAACGTCAAGGAATACTACCGCACAATCATTTTTCATAATTTTTGCATCTTTTAATATAGTGTCGATAATCCTTGCATTGACGTGCGTTCCTGGAAGTCCTTTTATAAAGCCTCTCTGATTCCTGTGGAAGGTGACCTGCTTTCTTAGTTCGTGGTCCAGAACCTTCTCTATGATTCGACGCACAATAGAATAAATGGTGATGGGTCTCCAGGAAGAGATTTTGTTTAAATCACCTTTCCCCTTATATATCAATATTGTGCGCCCTTGTCGACTAATATTTGAATTAAATATTTGCTACATCAAAATATTTAATCGTGCGGATTAGAACTCCATCAGGCCCTGGCGATGTGTCCATTGATGTTGATTTAATGGCTTTCTTCATGACTTCTAGATCAATGTGGAGATTTTCGCTCTCAAAGAGGTCTTTATAATGTTTTTCAATATCGGCCATCTTCAGAGGACACCGCTTAGGACTGTCGGCATTCTTAACAATTTGCACGACCTTTTTCCTTTTATTATAGTAATTTTATTGTGCAACCTCATACTGATACTGTTCTTGCCGACGACTCCTGTCTACTTTGTTCGTTTTTTGCGGATTTGAGACTTGTCCAGCACCCTTGTCAGTCACTTTAGTTTTTTTTTTTCTCAATCTGTAAAATTTGACGGCTGAGTGCTGGGGACCTGGCAGTTCCGCATTGATATTCTTGAGAAATTTCAGGAACCTGCCTACGGCCTCATCAAAATCCGCAATATTTATCGTGCTTTCTTTTGAGAGGTTCTTGAACACTGTAGACCATCTGATAATGTCCTCTTTTATTGTTGATACCTCACCCTCTCCATTTTTTGGACCTATAACATTTTTCACTATGCCCCTCATTATATTGCTGTTAGCCTCCCTGGGGTGCTTTTTGGCAATATGGGTTCCAAGACTTCTTTCACTCTTAAAAGAAAGCCCACACATGGGACAAACTTTATTATTAGGGCGTAGAACTTCTTCCTCCTGCTATCTGTCTGCCCCTGCGACATTCTGTGGAACATTTGGCCATCCTGGGAAGACATCATCTATCGAAACTGTCTTTCCCAATAGTACACCTTCTGTGTCTGGCCATTCGACTTTTACATATTTCTTTTTGCCGCCTCCTGCAGCCTCCACAGACATCACAGAGGCAACAACAGCCTCCTGAGCAGGTCCTCCAGTTCTCAGAACCCATACCCTCTGGCCAATCTCGATTTCATTCATTGTCCTTAGGTCCACTCAAAATCCCTATTAGAGACCATGTGTACTACACGCATGGTTAAAACATACCATCTAAAGGAGAGTGAACCCGTATACAAATAAATAAAAACTAAACGGGAGAGACATGCATATATGCCAACATACACACTTAAATATCAGATTAATATCAAATGCTTAAAAAGAGTTAAAATGTAAAATAAATATAAGCTAAAAAAAAATTAAAATCTATAAAATTAATTGCTTAAAAATAAGTTAAAATATAAACTCAATAAAGTCCAAGTTAAAAAGTTAATCAATAAGTTAAAATCTATCTTAAAACTAAGCTAAAATATAAAATGAAATTAAAATCTATAGACTCTATTGCTTAAAATTAAGTTAAAATATATAAAATAAATTATGGTAAAATGTTAAAATCTATAAAATCAATTTATTAAAAACAAATTTAAATATACAATTAATATAATATGAGTTAATCAATAAAGGATTAATAAATAAGTTAAAAAGTAAAAACAAATTAAAATATACAATTAATAAAATCTAAGTTAAATAATAATGGATTAATAAATAAGTTAATGAATAAAAACAAGTTAAATATATAAAATATATTGTTAAAAATTAATTAAACACACCCACTTCCACTTAATAAATAATAAATAAAATTGAATAAATAGATCAGTTGATAAAGCTAAATACTAATTCTTATAAATAATAATTCATTAATTTCAATAATCGAGCTATCCTGTGATCAGTTTACAAATGTATTATAAGAAATATGCATACATGTATATATATATATTTTTTTTTTTTTAATAAGAGAGGAAAGAGAAAAAAATAAAACAAATGATAACAACAAAATAGGTTGGGCTCTTTCGGTGACAGCTGTTGGAATTGATAAGGGGACACTGACCTTGCTGGATGGAGGCAGCTGCATAGAGAGGGAGGGGGCCGACAAGTCCTGTGCTGCAGAGCGATAAGGACCCCGGTCCCACAGGCATGTTGATTTCTTTACAATAAATTGTTACCAATTCTAACTTTATTGACTGTTTCCATCAAGCACATCCTGACTAGATTTACTAATTTTTTTGGAATTCCCTGCTTGATTAGAATATTATACAGTTTCTGGCGGTCAATAGAAGCGTAATTTCAATAGTCTCTGATAATTTCCTCAGCGTATTGGGTAATTCGACTATTTAAGATTAAAGTGTATATGTTATAACATACCGGAATGAGTGAAATTCCTTGATAGTTATTACAATCCATCCTCGGACCGACCCTTGAATGGTCTTTGAGAGGAAGATTATATGTAAAATCTTTGGAGCTGTGAAAGTTGACCAGTTATGGAGACGTCCGACAAACCAGGAGCTCAAGATTTGTTTAAGGAACAAGACATGGTTCATTTCATGAAGCTTTATTCATAGATTGAGATGGGCTAGGCACGTTGCTCGAATAGCTGAAAATGACATTCCGAAGAAAATCATTACAAAAGTAATGCACGGAACAAGGCGTAGAGGAAGACATTGGCTTCAGTGGAGCGACGGTGTAGCTGGTTATGGTAGGTCCATGTTGGGAGTGAGAAGCTGAATGGTGGCTGCACAGAATAGGAACAATTGGTGGAGGCTGGTACAGGAGACCAAGAATCGACATTAAGTGCCGACTGAATAGAATAGAATAAATTCTGAGTGCCTAAAATAGTCTATAATTATAAATTAAAAATTTTTAGTAATTACCTTTCTTATTGTATTCCGTCATGGAAAATTAAAAAAACTAACTAGAACATCCTAATATTATTTACAGGTGAAAGATTAAACAAGTATATTGTGTCTAAACTCAGACTGAGTAGAAAAGCTATTAATTGTTCATAAAAGTGCTTTATTGACATTACCTTTGGATTATGTATGTATTTTCTTACTAATTAACATCTTAGCTAATGATATTTCATGAAATTTTACATTTCTTATCATAATTTCAATCTTCATTTTTGGACTTTTGTCCCACTAGATTCGCATTGGGAATGATTACCTGTAGTCAACAGCTTTATGTTGAAAGAGACGAAAAATAAAATTGGGGCTAGGGTGGCCATGCTGGCTATCACGTATGTAACATACGTGTTGCCTGGCAATCTAATAGGATTGTAAGATTAGGAGTGTCAATCCTATTGTCTGAGAAGGAGAGAGGCTTTTAATTCAGGCATAATTTCAACGCTCTCACTCCTGGCCCATAAAAAATCCTGTATAGCCTACAGGATAGGCTGTATAGCTTTCACCTAAAAGGTGAGAAAGGGAAGAAAAAGGAGAAAAAATTAAAAATTAATTTCATAAATTAATATTTTTATTAATCAAATCAATAATTTTTACTTTTCATATTTTGTTTGATTAGTGTTAGATATATTTTTAAATATTGGAATTTATTTTTATTTTTTCAGTTATGCTGCTACACGAATGGAAGAGTTATTCTGCAAGAAAGAAAAGTTTTTATCTTTATAAATTTTATGTGTAAAGTTATGTGTTTTAGATTAATAATTATATCAAGTGGGCGCATGTGTTTATATTTGCATATATTATCCAATATATATTTTGGTATTGATTTGATAATGTTTAAGTTGATTCTAATTAATTTTTACAAGTTACTGAGATTATTAATGTTTTGTTTTCAGTTTTTGAAAATAACTAATTTTATTAAAATAATTATTTAAACCTATTTAATAATTTTTAGAATATTTATTAATTTATTTTCCTGTGATGTATGTAAGTAACAAACTTTACGAAAATTTGTAAAAATATATATTAATTCACTTTGTCTATTCTGTTGTTTGTTTCTCACATTTTGTTCACATTAATTCTAGTCTTATTTTCTAAATTATAAATGATCAAAATTTTATGTGCTGAGCAAATTATTGGAATATATTGTGCATATTTGAATTGTTTGAATATATTGTGTATTCATATTAAAAAAATATGGATATATATGGATGTATGTACATTGTGTATAATGCACTTTCAAATGTAATATAAATGTATGACAATATATAACATAATATAATTGTATGACAGTTGTGATCGATATACTTTATTTATAAAATATTATAGTTATTATTGTTGTAAGGTTTTACTTGTTTAGACAAAACTGAAGTGTATACCGTTCCCAGTTTTGTAACCTCCTCCCCATACATCAATGCACATTGTAATCATTCCTAACCTTAAATAATCATATGTATTTTCTGTAAATACTGTTTAGAATATTTATTAATTTATTAGACTATGTTGGTATTCAAAATGTGATGATTTAGATTACTAGGAGTTGATTAAAAATAAAATTTATATTCAAAGAATTCATCATTCCCCCCTCTCAAAAAAAACTTTGGTACTTTTCATATAAAATTCTATGATTACCTAGTTCTAACTTATAATTTTGATTTACAGAGTTTTTGTTGGCACTAAGCGAAATATAATGTCAATTATTACATACAATATATTTGATTATGGTAAGTTAAAATAAGACTGGTAATCCATACCCAGTATTCCTACCAAATGTTAAAAATTGATTCTTCAAATAACTTAGTGAAGTTTGCTTTTGGGACCAAATCTATAATGGTGTGGAGTTGATGGTACAACTAGAATTATGATGATCAGTCAAACATTTAAAGTTTATTTATTATTATTGACCTCTGGATTAACTAGCAACTAAAAACTAAAAACTAGCAATTAGCAACCATTCAGAGACTGGCACTTATTAGGGTTACAAAGGCCTACAGAATGGTCTCCTAAGAAGTGGTACAGATGCTAGCTGGGGAAATGCCCCTGGACTTGATTCTGAGGGAAGACGCCATTAAGTTCGATGCCAAAAGACACAGGCTAAGATCACTCATGGAAGGACTACGACAGAGGGCAGAAGAAAGATCAAGGAATATGAAGACGGTGTTAAGGGAGGATTCACTCGAGGAGTGGAACAGGTGGTGGATGACAATAGAGAAGGGATCAACCCTCAGGAAATTTTTTCCCAACGGTCATTCAAGATTAGAGGCAAGGCGGGTCCAACCTGACTACTGGTTTCAAATCCTCACAGGGCATTGGCGGGTTTAGAGATAAATTGAATAAGCATGGAAAGAATATTGACCCTTGGTGCCCTACATGCAGGGTTTCTGAAACAGCGGAACACGCCCTGCTGACATGCGTAAAACTGGACCAACAACGATCCTGGCTGTACTGGAAAGCTGGGATATATAATCTTGGAGAAGAAGATCTCGCAGGACTGATGGCAGAGGATAACTACCCTCACTTCATGGAGAACGTGAGGAGGTGGAAGGAAGTGGTTGGCCCTATGCACTTCAATTAGGGGATAGAGTGCCTGGCAGAGGAAGGGGAAGGACTGGCACTACAAAGGCCAATGAACCCAGAGGTAGACCCAGGAGAAAAAGATAGAAAAAAAAAATTAAATAAATAAAAAAAAAAGAAAGAAGAAATGTAGCCACATCAGAAGCCGCGTAACGGCCTACACCACAGAGTCCCTGTTTTTGTTGTTCCTAAATATATAAACGAAATAAAGAGAGTTGTATCGGTGACAGTGGCAAGCGCAGATCCCATGTGCAATACCTTTGTTGCTGAAAAACCCGTATGCCAGTAATGGCTAGGTAGGGTGAAAAAAAAAATGACCTCTGGTTAATTTGACTTTGTGCTTTTGGTATTATTATGATGTAGGAACAGAATATCTCAAGAGACATGACAATCTTGGGAAAATCTAGCATTAGGCGATTGGTTTCAAAATAAAACTATTAAATGGCTCCTATCGCTAAAACTTACTATTTTAATTCCATATTAGAATATAAATACCATGGACACACGTAAATGCCAACCTAAAGATCTAATCCAGAAGGAAGAAATAAAATTGTACTGGTATCAGTCATTTATAACTGACCATACTGTAATCCACAACAGACCAGATAAAGTGTTAATATGAGGAATTAATATTAGGAAGCTAATAATATGAGGAAAGCTGAAATAATAGGTATCGCTTTGTCAAACAATGGAAACACTAAGTCAGTCTGTCTGGAAAAAAAATTGGAAATATCAAACTCTAGCAGCTGAGTTGAAAGACCTATACAGACTGAAAGTTTTTAAGTTACTGTCTGACTAAGCCTTAGTGATCTCAAGCAATGGTCTGATACTAGTAAGAAGTTGGCCCTCTCAACAGCCATTATTATAAATGAAGCGCAGAAGCTGTGCTGCTCAATACTACGAGGATTGTAAGAATTATTCCTCAATATACAATTGTTATATAAAAACAATCTGACTTGTAATGGTTGAAGTTTACTCTTCCCCATTCCATGAAAATACCTCTTATTGAAAATTTTAAAATATTGAATACATTAAACAGATAAAACAATATGTGAATAGTATGTGGCATATTCATTTATATATTATATGTTCTAAATGTGTATGAACTTTCATTGTGTTTAAATGTAATGAATCTAATCCTAGTGTCTTTAGTGTTTCATAAGTATTATTGTTATGTCTGAAGTATTGTTATTATTGGAATGTCTGAAAAGTAATCTTTACATGAAAAATTCCAAAATTTGATCAATTTGTGACTCATTATGTACATATCATATTTCTATAAATCTGAAAGGAAAATTAAATTTCTAGAAATGAACATTTGTTTTTCTGAATGAGGAAGACTGGTTCCTATAGCGATAAATAGTAAATATTTAGGAATGATTCCAGGATTTGAGATAGCCAGGTAGGCCCTATTTCATTTTTGTTAAGCATCATAGATTTATCTTAATGTATCATTTATCTAAAAAATCATTTCATTTCATTTAAAAAGGCAGCCTTCATAGTTATACACCATGGTATTGAATACTGTTCTTTATGAAAGATGTTTTAGATATTTTTACATTTTACTTCTTTCCATTCCTCCATTCTTTTCATCATATTTATGTAATTAATAAAACATCATTATTGTATAAAAATGTAATGATAGATTTTATGAAATGAACAAAATTTTATAGAATAGTTAATTGATAAACTGGAAAAATATTTGATAAAGATTCTTTATTATATTTTATGGACATAAGTAATCTGTAAATACAATTATATAAGTCTGAATAAATAATTCAGTCCCATTAAATTTGTTTAATATTTTCTCTCACTACAGTAATGTCTACTGGTGGGTGAAGAAGTGACATTTTTTCTAGAGAAGGTTCTTCATGGTTTATAATTTCAGTGATTTTTGTAGCTGTTTTCAAATTAGATAATATTGTGATATGATTTCCATCCTCACTATACACAGAAAATGGACTTTGGAAATACTGAAAACAAATTCATTATATTAGAAAAACATATTTCATTTTTTATTTTAATTCTATAATTGAACAAATATATCCTAAATTCAAAGATTCTTTAAAGTCTAACACAGTCTTTTACATACCAGTATAACCCTGTAAAAAGTTATTCCTGTATCAGTTCTGTTTTAATTACCATGACTGAGATGAGGCATATTAATTTATTTTACTCACATATTGCACGATTAGTCCTCACTTAATATAGTAAAAGCCTAAATAGCCTAGTTTGATCCTAAATATAATTTATTAAATTAATGTATTTATGTCTTAGTAAAGTAAAAAAAATTGATTTTGAGTGTTATAAACAGGAGGGATAGAAGTAATCTACCTGACATTGTTAAAGTAATTATATTCGAAATCCCAATAATAATAAATTTATTATACCCAATAATGTTTTAGTTTAACTACATTTTTTTTCATATTTATTTATTTTTTTCGTTACGAAACTGTAGAAATATCTTATTTTTTTAAGAACTGTACTGTTCCTGTACAACTGTACTGATATAGCAAACATTTTGGCAATAAAATGTTCATAAATTATTTGCTATTTGAAACTGGAAACATGGCTAATTGACCCTGAACTGAAATACCATAAATAAAAAAAATGAACATTTCATGGTTTTTAGGCCACAGACTTAGTAGTCATGTGCCATTTCTCGCTATTTGAATTCCATTTATTTATTTTTTATTTAAGTAACTATTTAGTCATACCCACTAGTCTGATCCGTTTCATGACTGGATACAATTTGATAAAAATCTTCATAAATACCTAGAATTGGACACCCCAAAATATATTGTTACCTTTGATAGTATTGTCAAAATTTGTTGTCATTAGTACTAAACCAATCTCTATTTATAGAACTATTTGGTTGGTACTATTTCTTAACAAAAACAAACGTGTTTACTCCCATGAAGAAAAATACCATGAAATGAAGGGGTTAGAGTGATAGTGGTGTTAGTCAATTTTGCATTTTTGATCAATATTAATGTTTTGTTAATGTGCATTAATCATATATGTATGTTATTCATATATTATTAAAGTATATACTGTGGCCTTTATTAATTTAGATATAATATAAATGAATCATTGAAGTACATTTACAAAATATGCTTCTGGAATATTTATACTTTTTGGAAAAAAAAAAAAAAGCATTTTAACTCTGTAATTTTTACTCCCTCAAGTATAAATGAGACTTCAATATTAAATAAATAAATGGTTAGAGTTAATTTAATTGTTCCTTTTGAAATTATTGAGAATATTGATTCTCAAAGGATTATTTAACACAAATTAATATTTGATAACTTGGTCTGGTTGAGAAATTTCAATTACCTTTGACAATCCATAGTCCTCTTTCATAGCAGCAGAAACTTTCTGTTTAGGTCTAATTAGTGAACCTTTTGATGAAATATACTTTTCTGGGAAGTCACCAAATTCATATACTGATAACAACCTACAATAACAAGCATGGAATAATTGCTTTAAGAATTTCTCGCTAATAGGCAATTTTGTTTTATACGTTTGTTTTATGAAATCAAGTTTCATATCCCAATCAGGTAATTGTCGTAATGACTCCATCACCTGTAAAATTGAAAAAACATGTTTTAAATAGTTTCATAACTTCAGTTATATATTTGCCTAATATTATTTAAATCTCTATAGTTCACAATAAATTAACATGTTAAGAATTTACTGTTTTTGAATAAATTTAGCCACAATTAACAGTTGCATATATTTATTTGCAATGATATATAATATGATATGTAATAATTATATATATATATATATCTAAGTTGTATCTTAATGTAGAAATTTGATAGTTTATTTTACATCACTTATATGATGTCAATTTTGTTTTTTACGAAAAATAATCAATGATTTTTTTTTTTCTTTTTTAAATTATATTTAATCTACAGGTTTTTTACTTTCACTTACCTATGCATGAAATATATAGTAAGGGAAAGTATTGCGATCGTGAACGTTTTATAATCTCAGTTTTCTACGGAAATACACGTTTGAGGTTCACTGAGTCCAAATAACCAAGTTTCGCAAAATGGTCTGTATGTGTGTAAACAGTATAGCTCAAAAACGAAAAGTCGTAAGCAAGTGAAATTGCATATTTAAGATTTTTGTATGTCGAAATCGGCTAACCGGAAGTGGCACTTTATATAGTGGACTAAACACATTTTTTACGATCGGCTCAAACGATTTTGATTAAATTCATCATATCAGTGTAAAATTAAGCAGTTTTAAATAAAATGTAGTTTTTATTCTGATTGATATTTTCTAACAGGTCTTAAATGGCTAATTTTCAATATTAGTTTCCCCTAAAGTACCTTTAATTTTTTTTGTTTATTCACCAGGATTCACTGCCGTAGGTCAGTATGGGGACAAATGTATTTTTATACTCCGTCTTCTTGACATTTTGTGACACTTCTCTTTTTCCTAAGAAGCCTGTTTTCAGTGAATGGAAGCATTTGCAGGACAGTTTTATTCTTTCTCTGATTTCACCATCTATCCAATCGTTCTCATTTAGATGGGCTCCCAGATACTTAAAATCTTTGACGTGCTCCAGTTTCTCCCCCTTCAATCGAAGTACTCGATCTCACCTCTCTTCTCCTCTTCCTATCCTCATAATTTTTGTCTTGTGGCTGTCTATTTCCAGGTTGAACAGTTCTAATTCTTCCTGCAGGATTCGGAGGTTGTATTGGAGGTTTCTTCCGTTGTTTCCGAATACCACGATATCGTCGGCATACACCAGAAGGGTGAGATGAACTGGTCGTAGCTCTCTGTGGCCCAACCTAAAAGGTCTCATTCTTTCCTCAGCTCTCTTCAGTGCCATGTTGAGCACTATTATAAATAATAAAGGACTTAGACTACAGCCCTGCCTATTCCTTGGGTGCTCTGAAACTCTCTAGAAGTGTGATTATTGGTTCTGACAACGCTTATTTTCTTTTTATATAGGCTAAGAATGGCCCTCGCTAGGCCTGGATCGACTTCATGCTCATTCAGTGCTCTGTCTATGTCCGTTTTTCTGACCTTATCGAATGCTTGGGTTAGGTCCACGAAGCAGGTATATACCTCTTTATTCTTTTCCACCAGCTTTTCCGAGAGCTGCCTCATTACGAATATTAAGTCTTGGGTACTTCTTTGTGGTCTGAAGCCGCATTGTTCTTCTTATAGGTCTGTCTCAGTGAATCCTCTTAGTCTCTTCTCCAGAATCTTAGAGTATATCTTGCATGGTACACTAAGTAGTGAAATGCCTCTGTGGTTTCGGCATTCCCGCTAGTCTCCTCTCTTATGAATTGGTACTATGACTGAAATTTACCTGTCCTTGGGTACTTTTTTCCTTTTCCATACCAAATTCAGTAGATGCTGAAACATTTCCTGCCCTTTCGCTCCCATATACTTCAGCATTTCGGGTGATATACCGTCTATTCCTGGCGATTTGCCCATTTTCAGGCTGTCAATTGTATCTGCTATTTACTCTTCTCCTATTAAATCTTCCTCATCCTCGTTCTCAGTGACATCTGACATCTTCATTGATATTTTGTTCCGACATTGACAAACTACCTGTATCGTCATTCAGCACCCTCTCAAAGTATTCCGCCCATCTATTCATTATTTTATTGGTATTTGTTAAAATAATACCTTCCTCATCTTTTATGTGTTTTATAATGGGGTCCTTTTCCTTCCTCATATTTCTTAGGCATCTGTAGAAGAGCTTCTGATTTCCTTTTGCATCTTCCTCTAACTTATTTTGCATCAGCACCCTCTCAAAGTATTCCGCCCATCTATTCATTATTTTATTGGTATTTGTTAAAATAATACCTTCCTCATCTTTTATGTGTTTTATAATGGGCTACTTTTCCTTCCTCATATTTCTTAGGCATCTGTAGAAGAGCTTCTGATTTCCTTTTGCATCTTCCTCTAACTTATTTTGCATCAGCACCCTCTCAAAGTATTCCGCCCATCTATTCATTATTTTATTGGTATTTGTTAAAATAATACCTTCCTCATCTTTTATGTGTTTTATAATGGGCTACTTTTCCTTCCTCATATTTCTTAGGCATCTGTAGAAGAGCTTCTGATTTCCTTCTGCATCTTCCTCTAACTTATTTCCGAAATCTTCCCAAGCTTTTTTCTTCGACTGCAGGACTTTTTCCTTTGCTCTTTTTCGCTGTTCCTTGTATCTTTCATA